GGAGGAAACTGGAGTACCTGGAGAAAACGCACGCAAGCATGGGGAGAACATGCTAACTCCACACAGAAAGTCCGGAGCCGGAATTGAACCCTAGAATTCTGCACTGTGATGAGGACATGCTAACTAGTCGACCACCGCGGTGCCTATTATTTATTAATTTGTTTATTTTAAATGTGCTTCAAAGTCAGATGGGTCATTCTTCAGAAAAAGATTATAAGAAAGATACTCACTGATATGTGGAGCTGGTAAAATGCGAGCAGTTTTCACTGGGCCATGACGCACTGAGAACAGCTCTTGGGCCTCCCCTGCCATCTGAAAGACAACATCAGTGTTAACACCAAACAAGTGTGTGTCTTTATATGTTGGGATGCATTTATTTTCATGATGAGAACTATTTTTGCTCTGGCTCTCGGCGAAGGCGGACACTTTTTGCCCTGCTCACCCCATTTACTTCTAGCTCAGTGCCATTGGCGATAGATAACATTTTACAGACTGGGATGAAAGGTACAGCTTTTCTCGAGGGCCGCTCATTCAAAATTATCTATGTATGTAAGTAACACAAAAATATATATATATATATATATATATATATATATAATTGGTACCTGAGGGTTTGACAAGCCAAGACATTTGGTTCTCATTTGTGTGTGATTCTGGGATATAAGGTCAAAGGTCAAAATGTGTATGTCTGGTGGTATTGTAGCACATTGTTATTAGTGCAGAAAGCCCCACTTCTGTCAATTTTAATGCATTAAACTACAAAAGAAGCAATATTTTCACTTTATCACTGCTCTAATCCGTTTATGTTCGCTCTTTTAAAGTCGAGCAGTGGTGGATTAACACTGGACAAGCAGGTTATATGAGCACTAATCGGAGGAAAAATTGGATGTTTTCAGCAGGGTATGATACCTATGATGCAAATGGATATGTGACAAGGAATAATAGAATTTTCAGGATTCAAATGAAATGAGAAGGCCTGAGGTTAATGCTCTAGGTTATTGTGCAGGTCCCAGCTGCTCATACTGCATAGTGCAGAATGAAGGTAACCATTGTCACCTACTTGACCACATTACATCACAGCTTGGAGTCCGCAATATTACAAATTGCTTTTCAGTGTTGTTTTCCTACAGTTATTCATTATGTTAATTTGCTGGTTGAATACTTCTGCGAAATCTCTGTGTTTTCTTGACTTGAAGGGCAGAGACCAACGGTTGAAATATTTTTTCTTGAGACCTCTAACATGCTTTTATAATGTATAACCGTCATTGCAAAGAAATTAGATTGTTGGTAGACAGCAGTTTAATCACTAACTACAAATGAGAACATGTCGTCTGTGGGTTAAATCTTGCGCCCTCTCATCTTCAGGTATTTACAGCACTGTGACGTCTCAGACCCCTGAAAAGTTAGTGGCTACTGTGGCATATGGTTGTGTGCTCTTCGTGTTCAGTTGCTCTCCATGTGCTTTAGCATTTAAACAATGGTTCAATCATTGTGCAGCTGGTTGCCCGAATAGTAAAGGGAGTGACATAAGTTTTTTTAGCTTTCCAAAGGATAAAGAAATAGGTGACCAGTGGATTAGAAAGTCAATTGTCAGGGAGGACAGCGTGGTCAACTGTGGTCGCCAAGCAAGTACTCCAAACTCTGTGCTGATCACTCTTCAGTAATCATTTATCAGAAAGCATCTGATACCCAAGTGTATTTTGACCCGGGTTGAAACCAGCTCCTGTGCCAACAATTTTGCCTTTTGCAAATGCGACTTCCAGTGGCAGCAGGAAGAGCCCTGGTTTTCGTGGTGCATTTGAGAAGCGCTGCAGGCAAGACGTGAGACATTATTTGCATGCACCTACGACACAAAGATTAGGAATTGAGCCGTTGAAACAACATATGTACTTATTCTGCCTATATGGCAAGCTGCCCGATACGACAAAGCTTTTCTGTAGGGTGTGATATAAACAACCCTATGAAACGTTTAGTGCTATTGTTTTTCCTGTGCATATGAGACACATCTACATTTTTTATGCATAGAAAATACAGCTCAAGATCATCCCCGCGTTGTAATATTTCATGTACAGCTGGCACATTATAAATGCATCAGGCTCCTCAGTGGCATTGTCAAAGTCATCACTTTCACTGACTGGCTCCAATGTCCTGATCGATTCAAATATATAGGGTTTGATAACGCTCGCTTGTGTCGGCTCCTGTGTGTACAAATCCTCTTCCTCGAATTCCAAAACATTGCTCGCCGTTGAATGTACAGTGTTGTGTAGCACATGGAAATTGCACAGTATCTCTAAGGTGTAACGTCCTGGTCGGCAACTAAAATGTCACTTCCGGTAACCCTAGTGGTGGCGAGAGTAACTGCCTCCATGATGCCTCAAGCTTCCAGTAGGTTCGGTTGAGTAATGAGTAATTAAAATCAATTTTTCAATCAAACTGTGGTTGGCAACTTGCAGGAAGTAAAGTGTATATATTAAAAAAACATTTTACCAATGAGAATATGAATTTTAACAGACTTTTTGGAATCTGACCTTTAATGATACAAACAGAAGAGAAAAAACTATTTTAGAGCTTCTCAGTAACAAGTGTTTGTTTTGTGAGACTTTTTGGTGTTGCGCCAGGAAAAAATATACACAAAATAGCAAACAGTAACCCCATTCTGGAGACTATCTACCATCATATACGTTGACATTACCAGCCTCGCTGCGATTCAGTTTATTACTTGAACTTTCAAGAGAGGTGGCCGATGGGGATGGGTACCAAAGGTGATTCATTCATTCATTCATTCATTCATTCATTTGTACCGCTTTGGGTTGGTGCTACAGCGTACGGATTCACATGAAATCAAACGACAAGCATGTTTTGGTGAATCCTTGTAAATTGGGTTTTTTTTTTTGTTTGCAACGGCCTTCACCCTGGGCGGGTTGAACCGGCTTCTTCCTTGGCACGCACGACATCCCTGATCATGGCGGCCCAAGCGCGGCGATCCTGTGCCAGGTCAACCGACAGCCTCAGCCAGTCCTGGTTCCACCGTCTCAGACCCACCACCTGGGGGCCGGAAAGGTACGCGAGGTCTTCTTTCATCGTGGTGGCCCAGGTCTTAACTTGTCCACCACGCCGCTTGCGCCAGGCTGGCAAAGGAGCAGGAAGGAGAACATCCCTGATCAACTTGCCCTCCTGGTGGCGTGCCGCATGCCCGAACCAGCGGAGTCGGCGTTGCAGAAGTAATGCTGGTAAGGGACGAAGGTGCAGGCAGCGGCGGAGGTCAGCAGTGGGGACCTGGTCCGATCGGCGGCGGCGGAGAATACGGCGGAGGCAATCGTTGTCGAAGACTTCTAGCTTGCGCTGGTCAGCCACTCTCATAGGCCAGGTCTCACAGCCATAAAGCAGGACGGTCCGCACGATCGCCTGGTAGACACGCCCCTTTGTCACCGCCGAGATCTCGCGCCGACCCCACAGATGGCGTTGTAGGCGCACGAAGGCGGATCTGGCGGCCCCGATGCGATGAGCGACTTGTGCTTCTCCTTGCCCCGATGGAACCACAGAGGAGCCGAGATATATGAAGGAATCAACGTTTTCCAGGGTCACGCCCTCCAGTGACAGCGACAGTTGGTCAGCTGGGTTGGTGAGGGAGGACATTATCTTGGTCTTAGAGGCATTGATGCGCATTCCAACGGTCAGAGCCGTTCGATGGATTTTCATCAGCACGTTTTCAACTTCCTCGAACGTGTTTCCGAGTAGAGTGATATCATCTGCGTACGCCAGGTCCGATACTGCGACATCTCGGCCGACTCTCACACCCTCAAAGCCATGGAGAGCAGTGTTGAGAATGTGATCGATGGCATAGTGGAACAAGGTTGGTGAGAGAGCGCAGCCTTGTCGGACACCCGACCGCACCTCGAAGGTTTCTGATTCACTGCCGTAGGCCCGCATTCGGACTCGTGTTGACCGGTAGTACCCCTGGATGAGCCGAAGCAGTTTCACAGGGATCCCATCAGCCGGCATAATCATCCACAAAGCATCCCGGTCAACTGAATCGAATGCCGCGGCAAAGTCGATGAAGCACACGACTGTCGGTTGTTGGTAGGCCCATCGTTGCTCCAGGGTGCGACGCAGGCTAAAGATCTGGTCTACTCATCCCCTCCCGGGGCGAAAGCCACCCTGAGTTGGGCGAGTCCGGCGGCAACAGGCCATCTGGAAACGTTTCAGCAGAAGGACGACAAATGCTTTTGCAGCCACATCGAGAAGGCTAATGCCTCTGTAGTTGGCGCAAAGTTTCTTGTCTCCCTTCTTGGAAAGAGGTAGTAACACTGCTTCGCTCCAGTCATCCGGGATGGTCTCTGACGTCCACACGGCGTTGTAGACGCGATGAAGCCACGCTGCGAAGACGTCAATGTCGCTTTTGTATACTTCTGCCGGGATGCCGTCTTCACCTGGGGCTTTATTATTCCTGAGCTGACGCAGGACGCCTCAAATTTCGTCGACCGTAGGCGGGTCCGAGCTGCAGTCGTACTCCTCATCAGTTGCAGGAAGCACAGGTGCTAACACTGGTGGTGGGTGATTGAGTAGGGCTTCCAAGTGTTCGCGCCAACGTTGCAGTTGTTGCTCTAGGGAGGTTATCACAGAACCGTTCTCTGCGAAAATCGTTTCGCTGACTCCAGTGGATTTCCTGCTCGCCTTCTTTTCCAACTGATAAAGCTTGCAGGTATCTCCCACAGCCGCGGCCCTCTCAGTTTCTTCGGCAAAGTCGCACCAATAGCCATTTCGATCTGCCTGAATCGCCCGAGTGGTAAGTCGCCGTAGTTCGTGGAAGTTGGCTGCTCCCGTTACTCGCGCAAGCCTGGATCGTTCTGCAAGGGCCAGAGTGTTTTCAGTGATCCAGTCGCGGTTCTGGCGTTTGGTGGAGCTGAGGTGTGAACGCGCAGCTGCGGCGATGGTAGATTTGAGTTCCCGCCACTCCTGCTCCGGCTCATTGGAAGCCGGTTGTAGTTGAGCGAAGCGGTTTTGGACCTCCACTTGAAAATTCTTCCCCGCATCCAGCTTCAGTGTCGCGACATCAACCCGCGTGCTGCGTTTTGTAGGGCGATTAACTTTAAGTCGGATACGAAGGGTAGCACGTACAAGCACGTGGTCAGAGCCGCACTTGCCTCCCGTGTCTGCTCCATGGTACGCCCGCGCATCGAGGACTGAACTCGCCCAACGTGAACGAGCCAGAATGTAGTCAATCTGGTTCGTCGTCCGTCCATCGTTCGAGTACCAGGTGACTAGCTGATGTTGGGGGTGTTGGAAGTGTGTATTCATCACGACTAGGCGAT